AGACTTAGGCTAATACGTAACACACAACTAGCCCCTTTCCACTGTCCTGCCACCCCCCCGACCCCCACATGGCCCCTCACCAGAAAGAGAGCTACTGGCAATAAAGTGGCAATAAAGAGTGGAGTTGAGGGGTGGAAGACTCTGGTGCTTCTTTCACTGCCTAATTATGCTTGCTGGACCTGAAAGGTTAAAATATCAGTAATACCGATCATGGATATAAGGTGACAACTGCCACAGCAGTCCTGGCATGGCTCAGATGTCAGGGAATGAGAGAGATGTCCTAGAATAGTATAATGTAGAAAAGAAACTACTGAGCCATCTAGGGATGAATCTGTCTAGATGTTGTTGATGAGACATGGTGAGGACTGGAAAAAGGGTGAAGGGTCTGCTTCAGGGATTCATCGTACCATTCATATCACAGTAGAAAGATAACAGCCACCCTGGTAGGGCGGGAACACCTCAGACCCTGGGAGGTCAGGGGTAGGGCAGAACCATTAACTTCTCCTGCATTAATGTGTTTGGAAGGATACACAGGAAGAGGATGAAGGTGAGATGATGATTTTACTCTTGTACCTATAGAATTTTGAACCATGTGACTATTTACATATTTAAAAAGCTACTAAAAATTTAAAAATAAAAACATTGTACCTAAATCTGGAACTACAATTTAGAAACTAATATTCCTAGCCATAAAGCTGGGCACTCTCTAGAAAGGGCCTAAAATATAAAGACATAATAAATACAAAAGTTAGACTTTCTTTTAACAGTGATATACATATTGATTCATACAAATTTCTACTATGAAATTTTTTAGAAATGTATATATACAAGAATAGTGCAAGCTGTTAAATTTATTTTTATTTACTATAACTGAAGTGAACAAATATATTTTAACATAACAAAAAGTTATAATTGATAAGTTTACCATCTACATTTCAAAGAATTTCAACATTTTAGCATAGCCAAAGACTTAACATTTGAATTTTACCAATTTTTGAAATGTAAAATGCACAATTATAATACCCATACTACATTTCTTACAATTTTAAAGTTTTAGCTAAAACATGAGTCTCTGCAGGTAAAAGCAAGAGTTCTCCTATATCTAATACAAATAAAACATATTACTAATAAAGTGCCATTGGATTAGATAATAGTATTTCAACTATTTTATTTCAGAGAGGATGACAAAAGTACATAATAGTATAGAACTAGTCGTTTTCACTGTACTAGTGTAGAACTAGTAATCTGCATTATACTTTGTAACAAGCATGAGTGCTTATTTATAGTGGATGTTAACCATAATATAGAATTCTTCTCAAGAAAGACAACTATGACTTATGAGAAACTGTGTCATCATCACTGAACATAATTTATTGTCCACAGCTTTTGCAATCTTGAACTAAGATCAACCCAAGTCTACTAATACCAAGAAATAGTTTTAAGGACTTCATATAAATGAAATAACCTCTCTTTCAATTGTAAAATAGGTTTGGACCTGTTCTAAGGCGAAAGGAATAGTGGTGGATGGTCAAGTCTGGCAATAAGTAGGTTTCTAGCAGGTGAAAGCCTGATATGCATTGCTATAAGATGCATCTTTCACATAAGGGAAATGTGCTAACAGGCATATACAGCACTTTTCAGGCACTTGACTTCACTTGGTAGTTAAATTGATGTTAAAATATTTTTAATGGAAAAACATTAAATTATATAGTGACTTCAAGCCATGCTCCTTCCCACAGACACCTGCGTTCTGTAAGCTAAACCAAAATGTTCCCTGCTAAAATCAAATAATGATGCCATATACCCAATTCAGAGAAAAAAATTTAATAAAGCTAATAAATTGAATTTTCTCAATTTTAAGATTTTCCACAATAATTTTTTCATAAGTTTTTGTTTTCTATTATTTCTCTGAATGGGAGGAGAAAAAAGGCTTGAAAACTGTGAAAGAGTGTGCCTAAACTAAACAATATCAGAAAATTTTAAACCATTGATCAATTTAATATACTAATTATGGAAATATGCCTATAGTTTGCTCTTACACTTCTTAAGTGCCATATTTTCTCATAGTAAATCTGTTCCTAGTTCATATTATAGAATTCAATATGTAAACATTTTAATGTACCTAAAAGAGCTTTATGAATGTTGATCTGTTGTCCCTAAATATATTTGAGAATTAATACATCAATGTCTGGCCCAGAAACTATCTTTGGGGTCCAGTCTAAAGAAATGCTTTCAAATATATCATTAAGGATAGGGTTCTAGGATATGACTATCAAACTCTATTCTAAAATGAAAAAGAAAACATGGCAAGATTCCAGTATAGATGTCACTAATGTTCCCATTTTTTTTTTTTTTGAATACTTAGTATATAGTTTAAGTATGTTGATATTAAGGATTTTTTACTTGTATGTATTACAATTTGGGAAAATTCTGCAATATACTTTTAGGCAGTTAGCTTTAAAATAATGAAACTTCAACTCTTAGCACAAACAGCCCTGAGAACAATGCATTCAAATTACAGCTCAACTAGAAATAATCTAATTGAGAAACTTTAAAGTACAAAAACAAATTTTGGAAAAGTTATAAATTAAAAAAAATTTACCAACATTTGAGGCACTACCAGACTACAGTACTTTTAAGAGTTGGAAGGACTTTGTAAAAACAACAAACATACAAAGCTGTGTGTGCACACGCACACACACATTGTGCTACAATGAAAAACTGTGTCCCAAAATTTTATAGACTAAACATTTTATTGCAGCATCTCTTATTAAAGATATCATGCTCTGGCTGCAGGGAGAGTTTTGGTAATTGTTATAACGCATTGGTACAGAAGTTTATATCATCAGTGGAAGTGGATTCAAGAGCTTGGTTAGCATCAATTTCAAGTGATGGACAGCCCTTGGAAGGGAGCATAAAAGAAACATCATAATTATACTTATAATGCAAATGCTAAGTCAAAGTAGTAATGACTTGATCTATTTCAAAGGATATAGCTTTGTAGCAAATAAGGTATAACAAAAGTCTTCACAGTAGAAATAAAATGTTCTAGAACACATATTCCACCTGTTAATATAATATTGTATATCAGCAATTTTCAACTGGTATGCCATGGCACATACATTGATGTGCTGCAAGAGGCATACAGGTATGCTGCAAGAATTTTTGAAACATGCAATACTTGAGTATTTAGTCCAGGGCATTGACCTCTTTTACCTTAGATTTTCAAATAAAAAGAATGACAATAGCCAACACAATACTAGCGGTCTGGTGTGAATGAATCAAAATTATACCTATTTTTTTGTCAGATTGGCAAAAAATATTTTTTTTTGGTGGGTTGCAGAATTTTAGTAGTTTATGTATGCCATGAGATGATAAAAAGTTGAAAATTGCTGTTGTATATAAATTGGTGAAATGCCTGCAGACAAAAATGGTGTATCACTGTATAATCTATCAACATGACAGTCTCTACACTCTATACTTGGTAATTTGTGATATTTACCATTTGCTACAAAAAAGTACAACAGATACTAGGAATCAACTTTTAATATTTCTGATGTCAAAAAAGAATGAAGTCACTTCTGTTTTATGTTAAAAAATGTTTCCCTGTTTCTTTTTAATACAATTTATAAAGCTTTACTAAATGAAATATTTTGTTCTAGAGAAATGCACTGACTTATGCAAAAATACACAAAAAGTCCCATATCTTTAAAATCTATACTTATATGTCAGAAGAGTATTTATACTTTATAGTACTTAAAATGAAATATTTAGGCATAAATAGCTTTTGCCATTCAAGGTATGAATATAGAGATGCATTATTATAATTTACATATACTTAATTTGCAATTGAGAATATATTTATGTGAAGTCTGACAAGGTAGGAATAATAACAAGGGCATGCTGATCCAGAATTAATAATAAGTCAGAACACTAGTGTGGTTAAGTGGGGTCATACACATGACCAGCAAGCAGCACAAATTGATAACTTTCTAGAATTGCTGTGGATAATTATGCCAACTAGTAGCAAGTAAAATGCACATTATAAAGTACCAAAATACTGGACCATAAATGGAATACTGGAAAGAATTTAGCCTAATTCCTAATTGTGCTTCAGATGGGCAAAAGCTAAATGTTACATTAAAATGACTGAACTACAACCTCAATGTTCCTTGTGCTTTAGAATTCTCTTTGTATTTCCTTAAAGTGTCTGGCTTCTTCTCCAAATGGGTTTGTTGAGGCTAACACAAGACTTAAAAGTTTAGCAAATGAAGTAACCAAAACTTTGGGATCTTCTGTTTCTAATGATATTTCTAGTCATTGATTATAGTAGTTGCAACATCACATATAGTTTCTCCGAAATGACAGGAATAAAGGCCTTGTATAGGTCAAGGCATGATGGGAGAGGTCTCAGAATAAGTCTTAGAGCGTGAAGGTATTGCTGAAATAGTAACTTTGTTCGAAGTTTCATTCCAATATAATCATTGTTAATGAGTCAAAGGTCCTCACAAACCCTATGACAATGTTTAGAATTCTGGAAATAAGGTATGTATGATCCAAAAGACTAAATAGAAATGTAGGAAAGTCACCTAAAACACTTTTTAAAATAATTCAGTTTTATAGAAATTTTTCTAGTTATATTTCACATGAGTAACTGAATTAAGTCACATGACAATCAGAAAAAATGCACATATATACTTAAGTTAATGATTATCACATAAAGTAACTTTTCTTCCATAATTCATTTTCATTTCACTTTAGAAAAAAATGTACATAAATTTAACAAATGTTCCAAATCAATTTGAAGTAAGAGTTTCCAGTTTTTGTCTGAAAAATAAATAGTTTGATGTCAAAAGTCTACTTACAAATGGCTGGAAAGGAATGACTACTATAAATAACATTTATCAACATAATTGAAAAAAAGCACTGCATAGTATCCTATAAAGCAGGTCACTCTTTCAAATATAGAGAGAGAGAAAAACGGGGTTGGGGGAGGGTGGGGGAGAGGGAGGGAGAGGGAGGGAGAGAAAGTTAAAAGCAAAAGTACATCTAGGAACTTCTCTATTTTTATGTTGATTACAAAGGCTTCAAATAAAAACCTATAGCTTTAACCAACCCATTTTGCCACTGTCCCTTGTATCTTCTTTACAGTATGACTTGCTAACAGTTACCCAATCGTTTAATGCCTGTCAACCACAGCAGGTACGAAAATCACCATATATAACGTTATATTAAGTTAGCCAACAATATGGCAAAGAACAGTAAGACTGAGGTAATACAGGGTGCTTCACATGGCTACTAAGATAACTGACACTTTTTGATAACATGATTTTTGTTTAAGGATTTGTGCTTGCCACACATAGGCTGAAACTGTGATAGTTCCAATCCATAATCTACTTACTCTATGACATTAGATCTGAAATTAATGCAGAGCAACTCAAATGTGGTACTTCAATACCGCTAGATGCTACATTGTTCAATTTAAAACCCTGGTTTATTGATCATTTAACTAAAACTCAGGAATGATTTGATTAGACAAATCACATCTGTTGAAACTACCTTGTCTCTTTCTTAGACTTATAAACTGAAAAACCATAGGAATGTTATAGGAAAAATACCTATAAACTAATTAAAAAAAAGAATTATACACCTTGATTATATTTTTAAATTACCAACTGTCAGCAAAACTAACTCAGCACGATTTCAAAACAATGAAAAAATAAATGAGGTTGCTTATAAAGCTTTGGTGACAACTTAGAACCAAACTTGAGATCTGCAGTGGATCCAGACCTAAAGAGTTTCCTCATGCCTGATGTTCCCATTTATTTGCAGGGCTTTATGGCTACAGCATACTCTTCACTCATTGCACACATGACAGACACCTAGAAGGGGAAAAATGCAAGCAGAAGTTATTCAGAAGGCAATACACATATAAGATATATTTAATTAATGATATACTGTATATTCATGGATATTTTATACATACTAACTTTGGAAAGAGGTATTCCAAGACCAAATAATTTACTTTCTTAATAGTTTCCTAAAGCAAAATTTCTCACATTGTGGTTTTTAAGATAACTTCCAGGGAACAGGGAGAATAAGAGCTATGCATGTTTCAATACTTATTCCCACATGTGGGAATGTATTCCCACAGCATTCTTTCTCATACTTATAAAATAGCTCACATGTTGATCTTCAACACAAATTTGAGGCTCATAGTAACTATGTAACAAAAAATTTAACTTTGGTACTTTCTTTGGTAATGGGTCTCCAAGTATATCTTAGGAAAAGTGACTTACTGAGATCATTTTCAACATTTCGGCAGTATTTAAAAACTACCTTTACGTAATTATTTTATGCAAACTAGTTGAGGCCAAATTTTTAAAAAATGGTTCAAAAAAAGTCTCCCCATGGGTCTTTACCTGTACATCTTCACCTGCATTGTATTTTCCTTCTATTTCTTTGCCTAATTCACCTTCTGGCAGCTTAAGATCCTCACGAACTTCACCAGTTTCTGTCAGCAGGGAAAGGTAACCATCCTGAATGCATATCAGCTATTTAAAGGAATTATATCATTTGTACTGATTAGATCATATCCACTCCTTTGCAATATTTACAGAGTTAAGTTGCAATCCACATTAATTAGAGTAAGTACACAGTAGTACATTTATATACATATATATATATATATATATATATATATATATATATATATATATAGGCGCTTTAAAAATGGTAGGCATACAAAACTATAAAATATGTATAGACTAACAGTGTAAGTTTACTCCTCCCTGCACTCCTCTTGCCCCTGAGTCTCTACATTATTAAACAGTTTAGGCTTCTTTATCATGTATCCCAAGCACTTATATCTATGTACACAAATATAATCATTTAAAGAAATGTAAGTATCTTTCAGCAAGTTGCTTTCACTTGATATCATGTCTTAGACTGCTTTCCAAACTGGAAAATATGGACCTACTTCAGTCTCTTTAATCACTTCACAATTGCATGTGTGTGTGTGTGTGTGTGTGTGTGTGTGTGTGTGTATGCGCATGCGCGCACGCGCACACACACACACACACACACACACACACATATACTGTAACTGATTTAACCATTTTCCTATTAATGGGCATAAAGGTTATTTTTAATTTTTTATGATTTCAAAAATATGTTTTTTTAGCTTGAGTATGAACAAAGTGGAAAAATTTTAGTCTCCAACTCACTGCTAACAACAGCAGATATTTTTTTTTTTTAAAGACAAACATGGGGCAGTCTAACAAAATGAAAACAGTCATCGACCTAACTTGCAAGAAGACAAGTTAGGGGATGAAGTTTTAATAGAACTGAATTTCTCTTATTACAGGCAGGAGGGAACAGCAAGGCTGCACTCATCACTCTAAAAGCATGTGTATCACCAGTGTCCCAGAACTCTAACAGGTTTTATAGAAGGTAATCACCTTGAATACCAGATATTAACATGATATACACAAAAGGAGTCAAAGACATGGTCCTGGACTCCCTTTAACTACTATAATATAACACAGGCACATTGTGGGGGTAGAGTTTCAAACTTCTCCTTGATGGCACTACCAAATCTGGCTATGGCTTTTCACACTGACTCAACTACCACAGATTTTGGTTTTGCACATATCTAAAATCTCAAACAAAAACACAGAACACCTAACAAAACAACCACAAACACTTTATTAATTATGTCTTGAAACATCTGTGAGGTGATGGAGAAACGGGGAGTAAGGAGGTTGAGGTAGAAATATAATTTTTAAACAATTAAATACAAGCTTACAAGGCAGATTGTTTTGATTTCAGCTCTTTCAGCAACTCCCTGCAGTGGAACTTGCCTATTTCAATAGTTAAAGGTTCTCATTGCTGTTAGTGACTGAAATATAGAAGCCTAATAATAATATTGGTATGTTGATATTTATTTATATAATGGTGGTACTTTATTTTCTGAGTCAAGAATTCATAAAATAAACTGTGGGATGAAATAAAAAGCATTTCAAGTATAAAAATGCATAAACATATTATAAAACATCTTGTAAAATGTATTAATATAGTAAATATTTTATTAAAATTACTTTATTAAATACAATTAAAATTTTTAAAAATAAAACTAAGCTAAAGAAAAATAAGATTAAAATGAAAATAATTTGATCTTTCTTTTTTTTAATTTATTTTTTCAAATACATTTGTCTCTGCCTACCCCCCACCACTTTCCCTTGCCCCCTCCCTCCTTCCCTCCCTCAGCTCTTCCCCTTTGGTTTTGTCCATGAGTCCTTGCTATATGTTCCTTGACTTGCCCCTAATTTGATCTTTCTTAAAGAAAATACTTTAAAAATTTTAGATATCCAGAAAAGTTACAAAAATAATGCAAGAAAATAGCATATTTTACCTAGATTCATTCACTCATTGCGCATTTTATTCTTTCCATATATATGGAATAAAATACATTCTTATCCTTATTTTTACTGAACTATTTGACAGTAAGTTTCACACATGACTAGCAATACTTCACTGTATTTCTCTTAAGAACAAGGACATACTTTTATATAGCCAGTTTGGTTTTCAAAATTGGGGAATTCAACATTGCTAAAATATTATTTAATATACAGCCCATGTTCAAATTTTCCAATTGTCCCAATATTGTCTTTGATAGCAATCTTTTCCTCCCAACTCCAGGATCCTATCTTGTATTTATTTGGCTATCCTATCAGTTCAGTCTCTCTTATATTAAACTGTTCCACACGCTTGGTTTTTCTGACTGATGTTTTTGAAGAGCACAGATTCACTGTATTATGGAATGTTGCTCATTTTGGGTTTGACTAATTGTTTCCTCATGATTCAGGTAATGCATTTTTGGGAGTAATACTACATAAACAATGTATAAAGTATCACATTAGAAGGTAAATGATGTCAATTTGTGCTATTACTAGCGATACTAACTTTGATCACTTGGCTAAGGGAATATCTACCAGATTTTTCCACTCTAAAGGTACAATTTTCCTTTTTTAATTTGCAATCTTAACAAAAAGCTAATGATGGCATTGTTGAGTTTTAAGCATTTTTGTGCATTTTTCCCCATCTTCTCTCAAAGCCCTCTCCAACTCTGTAAGTTGGGAGGATGGAGAGAAGACAGTTATAAGTCAGTTCTAAATATTTCCTTCTGATCATTCACCTTTAAAGAAATATATGCATTTGATAAATTTAAGATGTTTGGAACAATTTGGGGGGGTATAAAGAGTATGTAATCATTAGTTATTAGCAAGCAGAGACATGGGAGAAGGCAGGGTCAGAAAGCTCGTAATAATGATGCTAGGCATACAATACTGCATCAAGCATACAGTAGTGACTAACAAATGAAATGATAGTATATCCCCCCAAAATTGGTACCAAAATATTAGTATTATTATTTCCTACTAAAAGAATCCAATGTATGGTGCTATTTCTTCCATAGGTGTCATTTCTCTCTATAGGGTTCTTTGAAAAGTGAGTAGTTTCAGGTCCAGAGCAGGAAGTATACAAGATGAACCTGGACCCAGCTGCTACACTAGAAAGCATGGTGCTATTTAAGACCAAGTCCATATCACAGGGCACTGCCCTGCCAGAGATAGGCTAATTTGAGAATTGATAAGGATAACAACTACAATTAATTGAAATATAAATATGTTTAAAGTTTATAGTGAAAAAAAATTTGATTGGTCATCTTCACTGAATACTGGGGGACCAACTCATTTTGAAAACTGGTAATTAAAAAGAACCAAGCATTTATACTGCCTTTCCTATTATATACTGTACCATAAGGTAAACAAACAAAAAAGTTTATGATGGGATGTTTCTCTTTACAGAAGTATTATGGCTGAAAAACAGAAAAGTGAAGAAATGACTAATTTTTCTCCTCTAATAAATTAATGGGTTGAGAAAATTATCATATCTAATAATACCACAAAAAAAGAAACAATCAGACTTATTTACTTGATGGTTGCATACAACATCACCTATGGAGTAGTTTGTATTACAGAAAGAAGAGGAAGAAAATAAAAACCTAAGCTGAATCTGAGCAAGCTTCTATGTCTAATTATCAATTTTCAGGAAATACATGAAACACAGGAATAAGTTAAACAACAAGGAAATACAATTAGCAAAATACAGAGTATGGACAAAATCTACAGAACAAATGTAGTTTCTTTAACAAAAAATTGAAGGATAAGAGGAATGGAGAGAGAAGAGAGTGAACTCCAGCACATGAGAAAGGAGAACCTATAGATTAAAATAGATTTAAGAGATAAACCAACCAATTTCAGTGCATGGATCCTATTTAGACAAACTATAAAACAAAAACAGTAACCATCACATCCAAAAAACAAATCCTGACTTAGACAAACTATAAAACAAAAACAGTAACCATCACATCCAAAAAAAGAAAAAACTAGAAAATATAAATACTGACTGGATATTTAAAGATATTGAGGAATGACTAATTTTTAAGTACTATAGTGTTTTGATTTTTTTCAGTTCTTATACTTTAAAAATGTATAACAAAATATTTTCAGATGAAAGATAAATGATATAACATCTTGTATTAGCTTCAAAAATAATCAAGAGGTAGAGGGTACAGGAAGAAAAAATAGGCGGTGCGGTAGAGACTAAACAAACTGGTTACGTGTTGGTAATTGTTGAGGCTGGATGATGGGTACATGGAGGTCATTATATTTTTAAAATTTCCACAATAAAAGGTAAAAAAGAAAAATGCTATGCTATGGTATATTAGAATTTTAAAAAGAACACTAACCACAAAATGGATGGATGCTTGAGTTGCTGAAGAAACAAAGCATGAACCAAAAGAGAATGTGGGAAGAGCTAATGACTGTAGATTCTGTCCAGGATGTCAGAATAAGAAAGAACACTGAAAGGAGGAATTACAGAGAAACTTTTTTGCTTGTATTTGTGTTACTGGTATACAGCAAAGGCTCGAGAAGGCATATCATCTCTAAAGGTGCCTTTTTAGCCCTTATTTCTGAATTTAATTACATTCCTCAATCTATTCCAACAACTAGACTTGTAAGGCCTCTTTCTATTTATTCTTTTTCTTCTTCCCCCAGCCTCTCAAGCTCCTTCCTTAGAACTGCTGTTCCCTTGTAGAAACTTAATGCATGATCAATGTTATTATAAAACCTAAGTGACTTCTGGTCAAGATAGCAGCACAGGCAGACAGGGCTCGCCACTTCACACAACCACATCAAAATTGCAACTAAAATATAGAATGACCATCACTCAGAACCATCAGAAATCTAGTTGAATGGAAGTCTGACAACTACGGTATTGAAAAAATCACACGCATCCAGATTGATAGGAGGGGTGCAGACGTGGAATGGGCTGGTCCCTCACCCGTGTATGGTGGATAAAAACTTGGGAGGGATATCTCAGGAATGAGGAGTCCCAGCCTCATACCAGGCCCCCAGCCCAGGGTTCCAGTGCCAGGAAGATAAGTCCCCACAACTTCTGGTTGCAAAAACCAGCCAGGATTGTGTCTATG